TGCCCCCAGCCTGTAAGTACAATTTCTGCTAAGCAGTGTTTCCCGCTCTTGCCACTTTGTGCTGTGTTTAGGTGCTCTGATCAAAAGGCAGGGATCTGAACTGTTTGGGAGTCCATGGCATGGGTCAGGTTCTGCATGAACTACATTAGGAAAAGATCTCTAGAAGCAGTGCTTTAGCAAGGGTGGCCTTGACGCTTTCTTGTTCCATCCCCCATTGCACTCCTGGAAAGGTACTAATGGGAGATGGCCTTCTGCATGTGAACTCGTGTCTCTTAACCTTTGGACTCACTGATTTACTGACATTAGGGGTGTAGTACTTCTCCTTGCCTCCTTCCATAGCCTTGAATCAGAACACTGATCCAGCCCACCCACACCACCCCAGGTAATATCTCAGGAGGAGTTTTGAGCTCTGAAGGGCTTTGGTTATAAAAGGCAAGGATAACAGCAGCAGATGTTTGCATGTCTGCTTGTTTGTTGTTTCCTTGCTGCCTCCCGTATGCAGCCCCTGGTCTGTAATAACTGCTAAAGCGGGTGTTTTTGTGGAAACAAATCACCTGCTTTCATCTGGAGAGCAACAGTGATTGTGCTGGGGGAGCATGATCTATTTTTCATGTCTCAGTCTTTCTTATTATTTAAATTAATGTGAGTTACAGTTGTCATGAAGTGAAGGATTGACGGCAATTAACTAGAACAGGTTTGGTGCAAGCTGTTTCTGCGCTAGCCTGTTCTACCTAGGTCTGTCACTATATCTTTCTTGGGACTTAAAATCTTCTACAACAGCTCTGACCTTGTACCCCTCCTGCCCTGCAGCCCTCCCAGTCCAGGGCACCCTACAGTATCTTTGCCCTTGTCTCACTCCTGCTTTGCAGCTCTCCTTCTGCTCCAGTGTGAGTTTCTCTCATGGAGAATGGCCACTGGTTACTTTGGGATTTGTTATTTACTGTCAGTGATGTGGAAGATGAGATGCTGGGCTGGCATCAGCCTTATCCTGTAGATGTGAAATGTAGAAGAAACAAATGTGTGAGATTCAGAGTTTCAAGCCATTCTTCTCAGTGTTCACTCTCATCTCTCCCTAATCAGTCCCTACTGTGGGTAGGGCATACTCCCTCTCTGGGGATGGAGCAATGGGGTACTACAGTGTGCTTCCTTTCATGTCTAGCTCTGCTCCCCATCCCCACCCCGACCAGAGGGATCCAAAGCACACTGTAATGGGTACTCCACATGATTTACACTGGAAGAATGGAAAAAATCTGGCCATCTTACCTTTTTCAGCAGTACCAGAGACCCTGGCAGTGCTTTCCCATGGTCCTTGGAGCCAGAAGGGTCCAGCAGCCGCCTGGTTTCCCTTGAAGTAAAAAGCTGTTAGTCAAAATATGTAAGTGCTGTTGAGCTGTAGTACTTGTCCTGCTGTGGGGCTGCAGCCTGTGGTTTGCCTCTGCTAATGGTTCGGAGAGCCAGTCACAGAAGAATTTTCCACTTGAGGGTCAACAGGATTCAGCTGGGCAAATGGAGGCTGTGACACCCAGAAGATTCTGGTCCCAGGAGGTTTTATTTTCAGCAGTCCTTCTTCCAGCAGTCTGGGATCTGTGAAAATACAATACAACCCACACATGGGGAAAAATAATAAGGTCAAAGCTTCTCATTTTAAGGTTGTCCTAAAAAGAAGTGTGCAAAGTAATGACAAGTGCCAAGGAGGCAATGCTAACTGTTGCTGGTGCTGACAATTTTGACATTTTAACATGCTAGCTTGATGCCCTGAAAATTAAAAGTCTCTGACTTTTTATCTGAGTGAAATTATTGTCCACTGACTTTGGATTCTAAACAGATGAAGCCAAACCAGGTTTTAAATTTAGAGGGAAATTATTTCCTGCCCTATTCCCCCTTGTCTTAGCCTTTCCTTGCCTTCTGACCAAGGTGGCAGCTGAAAAGATCCAGCCATTATACTCCTAACAAGATTTCAGCCTTGGATGTCTTTTTCACCCTCACCTGAAAAAGTGGCAAGCCAGATATGACTATCTGGACACATGCTCTTCCTTTTGGGCATTTGGTATGCATGGTCAGAACTACTTGTACTGGCTGAGTTTACTTGATCCTCTGTGAAGTAAAATGTCTTGACGGCTTTGGAGAGTGGCCGTTTATACATGTCCCAGCTGGAGCTCTGCTGCTGCCCTGCACTGGCTTTTGCTGCTCTCTCCTCAGTCATTTTGGCATTGCACCATTCTACTAGGACTTTGCACTGGCCCACAGTTTTACCTGCTACTCCTGCTTCAGTTTAGTCCTTCTTGATTTGCTGCTTTTATTGCTTCATGCAAATGTTAATCCCTTGAGGTTACGGCAATATTCCCAAAATGTGGTCTAGCCACTGGTTTTACTCCTGGGCTCTGCTTACCTGGGTTTGTCAATGCACTACGGAGAAGTTGTGCTGAGGATGCTCCAAAGTCACTGTCCTTGTGTCCCCTGACAGAACGCCTGGCCACAACTCTTGCAGAAAGAGCAGCCTCTGATGTTCTTTCCCAGACTAAGCCCCTCGTCCTCTCCTGTGCATGTAGGTGTTCTATCAGGTCTGAGGTGGCCCTCCAAGTAAGAGTAGCGGTTTGGATTTCAACACCAGAACTTTCAGGGCTCTGCCAGCTTGCAGATCTGCTGGCTGGAACAGTGTGCAGGTCTGTCCTGAGCCATGGCACAGGGTGTTCCCCTCATCTACTGGGAAAGAAAGGAGGTGAGTTTTCCATGTCTCCAGGGGTGAGTTTCTATCCCTCTCTGAGGAGCCTGTTCCTGTCTTGACTTTCTGAAAGTAAAAGCTTTTCCCTCATTTTGAGTCAGAATTTTCCCTACATTGCAGCTCGTGTTAGCTGCCTTTCAGTGTTCACTGTGCACCTCTGAGAAAAGCCTGCCTCTGTTTTTTCTGCATGTTCCCATTCACTTTTTGTAGGGAGCAATAAGATCTCCCTCAGTACTCTCTTCTTCAGACTGAACAGACCCATCTCTCTTAGGTTCTCCTGGGAAGTCATGTGCTGTAGCCCTCTGGCCATCTTGGGAGCCTTCCAGCTGACTTGCTCCAGTATGGCAATGGTCTTCTTGTGCTGGGGAGCCCAAAACTGATCTAGTGCCTGAGATGATATCTAATAAGCATCATGTAAAAGGTTTTAGACACTTCCCTCCACTTAGGGGGTTACACTCTTTCTAATAAAACCCAGGACACCTGGTCTTTGCTGCTAGGGCATACTGCTAACCCATGATGAATCTGAAGGAACCCCATATGTCCTGGACTACTTGAGCCTAGCACTTTCTCTCTTCCAGAAAATATCGAGGTGGTTGGTCCCTAATGAGGGACTGTCATTGTGAGGCTTATTCTACCTGTCTAGAGCAGTATTGCCTCTTCTTAATCAAGTGGTTGTTAATGAACAGCAAGGAACGGGGGTGATACTGCAATATCCTCTGATCCTTATATCTGAGCTAGTTCACCATCCAGAGCTGGGTAAATGCCAGCCACTGATTTGCATTTCTTTTCTTCTCCTTTCCAGCCTGTCTTTCTTAGCCTGTATCTGAGTTACAGGCCAGTCCTAAGAGTTGTCTCATCGCAATGGCTTTTCATACACATCCTACTGTGAATCTGTGTGAACATCTGATTCCTCCTGTTTTTCCACCATGATACTTGCAGTGGTGCACAGGCATTTGAGGTGGGCCCCTAGGCTGTCCTGCTTTCTCAAGGTGTGCCAAAACCTTCCCTATTGTGTTGCCCCCCAGCTGCTCTCTCACTGCCCTCTGCATGGTCACTTCTCCACAGATCATGGCAATCCTCCCCCAATGCACCTGGCTTAAATCCCTTCTTGCCTGGGTGAATGAGCCTGTTGGAAAATAGATGTCTGCCTCACTTTGCTCAACAGGTCCTCTTCCTTCAAGGGGGTCCCATGGTCATAGATACTCAAGCATTGTCCATGACTTTGGGGCCTACAGAGAGGGGCTATTGAACTGTGGGTTGTAAACAACATTCCTGTGAATCCAGCAACACAGCTGGAAGTTGCTCTCTTCAGGCTTCATTTCCTTTTTCCCACCTAGCTTACAGACAGTTTTGCCTCAAAAGGACCATCAGCCACTCCTGCCAGGGAGGGGAAAGCTGCTGTCTGTTTACTCTGTGGTAAGCAAAGCAGAAAATGATGTTGTTTCATTCCTTGCTACACACAAATTTGGAGGCTGGAAACACATAAAAAAAAATTAGAGGATTCCTTTTTAGTGAAAATTTCTCACCACCTGACATGGGGTGTGAAGTGTGGAAGCAAGACATGGATGCAAGAGAGGAAAGACTGCAACAGCTGGCACATTCCACACCTGGAAGTGCCTGTTCTGGTCCCAGTTCATGGTCACTCTGGTGCCATGACACAAACTCAGCTTGGAAAGTTTTTAAGGATCTTGAATGCCCAAGGCATGGCTGATCTTGTGAGTCTTAAAGACTCTACTGTGCCTTTGGTGCTCTGCCCTGTGTGGTGCAGTCTTTCAGAAGCTGCCTACTGCAAGTAGCCCTTGGGGGATCCCTCTTGGCTGAAAGATGTCACAGAAACCAATAAATAATACACCCTTCGAGTCAGTGCATTGGCGTCTGGCATCCTGCAGGAGAATGTAGAACTCCATCAGGGACTCCATGGAGTGTAAAAATTAGCCGGGATGATACTTGGAGCACCCTGACCCCTTCCATGCAGCCTTGAGGTAGGCAGGCAAGTTCTGAGAGGTGGTTTTATGAAGATACCTAAATCTGTCCGAACACAAAGCATTGAAGTTGCAGCACAGGCCGTTTCTACCAGTAGACCCTTGAAATACAAACTATGCCCCAGTGCATACTACTGTGATGTAATTTCATAAACCCAGGTAGTAGTGAGAGGGGTGCAGCCTATGAGATGAGTTTGTGGCTGGCTCTGGTTAATAGGTAGGTAGATTAATAAGCCAGGCAAGCTGCCTCCATAACTCTGCTTCTAACAAGGTCAAATTTTCTCGTGTCTTCACAGTTCCACCAAAGATCTCCAATATCTCCTCAGACATCACCGTGAATGAGGGCAGCAATGTGACCCTGGTTTGTATGGCAAATGGGCGTCCTGAGCCTGTCATCACCTGGAGGCACCTCACTCCTACAGGTAAGAAATACAGCTGGATTTGATTTGTGAACTGTACGGTAATTTCCTTCTCTTCCAGAATCAGGGTAAAACTTCAGTAGCAATATGGGCCACTATAGAAAAGTGGCAAGAATCTTAAATGTACTTCAAGCTTGTTTTGTGGAGTGAATTCCTAGGCGCAATAACCAGGTTTTCCAAATGAACAAATGAAATTACTTCAATAAATCCTCTGCAGAATTTGGCCTGTAATTCTATTTAGTTTAGGTCTTCATCTACTTGTCCCAGTCTCTACTGCTGGTAATGCACAGCACAGTGGTGGAGATGAAATGCTGCTGGTGCTAGACTGAGGGAAAAGGATCTCTGTTGAAACACTACATAAAAGAGGTTCTCTCTGAAAAGCATGGGATTTGCTTCCTACTGATTTGCTTTAAAAGAGAGAGGCAAACAGTGGCCCAGTTTTCATATTCAAATTCAATTTCATATTGCTTTCCACTTTGTCAGACAGCCACAAGTCTTGTGTCTTCTGAGGTGAATAAAGAAGGCATTTGATCTTCAAGGTGAGTGAAGATCAGGAAGGTAACAGAATAAAGGAGAACTCATCATCTTTGTTCTGCTATCTGACTGTGTCCTCCATGCTCAAGGATGTGGCAAGGTTGGGAGGAGAATGTCCTTTCAGTAGCCAGACTCTGTGGGGTTAGCAGCTTGGGCTGCAAGGAAACATTCAACCCCTAAAGATTTAACAGTAGGATGAGAGCAGGAGGTTTCTATCCCTCCATATCATGTCCTTAAGAGGAGAGAAAAACTCTTTTAGCTGATTTCTTTTCCTATCAGATACTCTTTAATCTAAAATGCACAGGGGAAGCATTGATTAGTCCCATATGAATGATCTTCTGTGATACTCCCATATATGTAAAGAGTTAAAGAGAATTTGAGGTAGGCAGAGAACAAACATTCTGCATGCGCCACAGATAGTCCAGCTTTCTAATGCAGTTCAGCAGCCAGAAAAGGGGAGTGTTGCAGAAAGAAAGTTGGAGAGAAAAAGGTAGAATAACATATTGGAACAGAGCTTAATCAAAGGGCTACATCGAGACCCCCCCTGTATTTGCAGCCTGTGGTTGAAATTGGGGTTACTTAGACTTCCTGTCTTGTCTCTTCAGCCAAACCAAAGTTCTCCTGAGCTTCATGTATAAGAAAACCAGATGTGCAGTTTGTATTTCTGGCCCATTTTTTGCAATGCCAAGAGAAAAAAGGGGTTGAAAGCCTGCCAGGAAGAGGTGAGAGCAGGGTTGATTAGGGTAACACTACTCATCTGTGGTATTATCATCACTACCTGACTTTTCTCTTCTGTTTTTCTTTTCATAATTAAGTATGACGGTGCCATCTGCATTCATAGAAGAATAGAACTTATTTTTTTCATCTTTAATTATGTATATAGAATCTCCTAGCTCTGATATTTCTATTCTTAAGGTTTACCTCATATCAAATCTTCCATATTACTGCTGCATCAGTCTTTCAGTTCTCTAACTCTTGTATCCAACTAAAGGATATTCCCCAAATACTCTGTGAGCACAGCCTAACACTCAGTTAAGGGCTTTAAATCTTCATGAAATCTAAGGCCTGCTATACATGAGATGGCATTCTTCAGCAGTGAGAAGATTCTTGTCCTGACTCATCACTTTGGCTGTTGCTGCTTTGTGGGAGTCTTTTTCATTTGTACCACCTACTTAACTATATCAGACACAGATATTTTTTTTTGCCTTATGCTGGCTATCCCCTCTGATGAGCAACAGAACTGAAGAAGCCCATCCCAATTGCAAGGACAGTTTTCTTGGCTCTAGTGCTCAGTTTTCCACCATGTCCCTTCACATTTTTTCCTCTCATGCAGTGTGTCTCAGAGGTGTTGCCTTGTTAGTATCCTTTGTTAGTGTCCACCATCTCACTGACTCCTTTCCAATCCCTCCTCAGTCCTCCTCCCTACAGTAAAGCTTGCCAAGCACCTCCTTTGTAAAAAACTAGAGGTTATGATGAAGGGCAGGCAGTCCTCAGTCTGTAACCTCCATGTGTCACTGATTGTGGTTCTTTCTTTTTCTCCATCTGAAGCCATCTGCTGTCTTTTATAGATACAGAGGAACTGCTTTCAGGCAGACATCAGGTCTTTGAGCAGCATAAAGCCCAGTAAGACATTTGTCTCAAAATGGGAGACAGAAGGGCTTATTTTAGCTGTTTTCCTTGAGGTTGACAATTAATATAAATTCTAAATTTCTTCTAGAGCTGCTGCAGTTGGAAACGTGTCTTATCTTGGAATGTCCCTTTTCCAGAACTGCAAGGCATTTTGGCTCTATTTATGCGAGTTTTGAAGACATATGCTATGCATCAAAGAGCTATTTTAGATCATTGTAAAGGTTTCTAAAATATATCTCTCTCCTCCAATTTTTTTCATGATTAAACTTGTGGCTGCAGAACTGGAAGAAAGAGTGTTATTGAGCTTGTGTGGGAGGTTTTGAATGGCCAGGGACAGGTAGTGAAATTAAACCCATATCAGGGGCGAGAGGACCAAATTACCTTTTCTTTGTGCACTCTCCTCAAGGAGTTCATTAGCAACTTTGTCTGCTGTTTCTTTCATTCACTGACTTCATCAATAGTGTTTGTTGGCTAATTTCTCAAGTTAGGACCACAGAAATTATTTAATTCTTGTTGGCTGGGAAGTGGAAGATACAAATGCGAAGAGAAGGGCAGTGTTGGTACTCAGGCAGAGAAGGTAGGGATGCATGTGATAGTTCATTTAAATGCTGCAGTCATAGCTCACTTATCTGCCTATCTGGGAAGTTAAGAAAATTGTTTATAAACTGGTGTGTTGTTTCTTGTTCTGGTTCTTCAGTGAGCAGTTGAACCAGATATTTTTCTCACTTCCACCATATGTCCTGATGCCCACAAGCAGCCCATAGGAAATAAAAACCTCTCCTAACCCTGTGAGAGAGCTCAAGTGTAACTGAGATTGATGTCTGTAGCATTGACACCTGGGAGGAAGGCAGGTAAAGAGAAAAATACTTTAATAATTCAATGGCTGATGACAATACAGATCAGCTTTAATTTGATGAAAGAAGGAATTACATTCCTTGGAACAATGCAAATCCTTGTTCTCATCTTAAATTTCTCTTCAGATAATTGGCAGATTGTATTTTGACAGAGCAGGTTGAAAGAGTCACCCAGACCCTTTTCTTTTTCACCTGACAGGCCGTTCTGTAGGACACTGGCAACCTGGTCTGAGTAGTTGTGGATAATTTAATAGGCATTGTCTAGGAGCACAAACAGCTTCATTAGCTCTTCTCCTCCAGCCAGAAGAGCTCTTTTCTGGGATCACTGACCTGCAGCTTCCAGCAGCAGGCCAGCACATCCCTCCTTGCACATAGTCTGATCCCTTTCCTGTCATTCAGGACACAGCTGCGGGCTTGTTAAGCCTGCCATACCCAATGACTTTTGCCACCCTCGTTTGTGATGGTAAGCCATGGCAAAGACTGTAAAAGTGAAGATATGAACCGGATTTGTCAGGAAATTGTGATGTGTTCAGTTAGAGTGGGGGTGAGTATTGATGATGTCCTATGCAAACTGCATGAATTAGCAGTTGTCAGCATTAGGAATACTTCACTAGGGAACACTCTGTAGCCTCATCACTTGAAAGGGACAAAAACCAGATTCTTTGTACCAAGAGTGGGTGGTACCCTATTGTTTTATTCTCCTTAACATTAGCTCATAACCTGCCTAATCCATGCCCCACAAAGGTATAGATTATTTTTTGTCACTGAATGCAATAATCTCAAATATGCTGTAGCTGCATCACATCCTGGACGAGGTCCTCACACAGGATCATTTATCACTTATCACGCTGATATGGTCTGTGAGAGATACCACAGGCAGCCTACCCATCTGTGGGTAGTTATGTTAAAAGGAGCTCTGTTTTCCCTGTACCTTGCATCAGGATAACAGCTAACACACCCAAGAAAAGACTCCTGTAAAATAGTTTAGAGATGGTAGTCAATGCCTGCTTTCAAGCCCATCTTAGTTTAACTTCACGTCTCTACTGGCTTATGTTTATTCAGGCATTTAATGTGTCTTCTCCCTACCCATAAGCTGCTGAGATCACAGTCCAGAGTATAATTTGTCATTTCTCATCTCTCTATATCTTATTCAGAGCCAAGCTAGGTGCTTGGCTGACTGAAAAAGCTTTCTGGGGAGAAGAAAAGTTAATATACATTCATATTCTTACCAATAAACTCTCAAGGCAAGCCCTGTAGAGTGGCCTCTTGTGCATCGGGTTTGCAGCAATATGAACTTGGACAGTTGTTGCAAGGTCTTTGGATTACCAGAGATCTCACTGCCAATCCTTTTGTTGTGAATGGGCAGGCAAAGGCAGAAGAAAAAGCCATCTCCTGTACCGAGAAGCTTGTACTTGAGCTCACAAGAGCAGTACCATTCATGTTGTTAGTTCTTTGCCACAAAGCATCAGTGATTGAAACCTTCCCAAGGGCCTTGCTCCTGGGTGCTCTGGCAAGTGCCTTCAGTACCCATGCTGATGGCAGCCTGACAGCTGGTGACAGGCAGACAAAGCTATAATGACCAAAGTTGAGGGATTCAGTCTTTAACTGTTTATCCATAACCAGCTGAGGAACAAGCAATTCCTTTTTCCTAGAGAAGCTACAGAATATAAAACCTGTATAAAGCCACAAGGTATCCCATTCTGCATTCGACTTCCTTGGCCTCAGCCCAGCAAGGCCACTTGATGGAGAAGAACACTCTGGATTCTTCCAAATTCCACGTAACAGTCTAAATAAACCCACTTTGGCTCAGAAAAAGAGCTTAGTTATTACAGTGGTAATCGCAGCATAAGAAGAACCAGTCTAGTGCAAAGCAGATAAGTATTGATTTTAACACCCAAGTTTCATGTCACAGCATAAAATGAAAGGAGATGAGAAGGCTTGTCAAATATGCCAGTCTGATTCTCCCTAGAGGGTGCTAGAAATTCA